TGATTTTTTCTTCCAAATCAGTAGACAATTAAGTAGACAGTTTCTTTAAACTGAAGAACTTCTAGTGTCAATGTTTGTGTATCTGGTGGGGCTGAAGAACTTCTAGTGTCAGTGTTTGTGTATCTGGTGGGGCTAACAAAGACTGCATTTTTGATGTTTGAGCTGGAGAAGTCCCCACACTTTTAGTCACAACAATTTTTATTTGCTTCGCAGCCATCTCCAAACTACACTTTCCCACCAGCTACTCAGCAGAACCAACAGGTCTTCTTAATCTCAGTCCTTAATAATTATTATGGCTTATTGATAAGTCAATATTGTATTCTTTAATTTCCAATCCTCAAAATTCCCCAGCAAAGTCTTTTAAGAGGTACTGACAGCGTTAACAAGCGTTGATGAACGTTAACAAGCACTTTCTCTTTTAACTTTCGGTTTCACACCCTTAAGCAACTCAGCGCCATCTTTCTCCCATCTCGAGCTCTGAAGGAAGTGGTAATTTATTAGAGTTAAAGTTTAGTACTTGCAGTTGTGATTTCTCCTGTCTTGCTCTGCCTGCTTTAAGTCCAATCACTGTAAAATCATTTGGTTCACAGGGGTGGTCGCGGCGCCTTGTTCTGTTAAAAAACAGACACGTCTGTTTTTCAGGTGCTTCTTCAGGTGCTTGGGGAGCTCTCACCCTCTGCGCCCCAGGATTAATCCTGGGGGTCTTGGGGAGCTCTACCCACACCTGCCTGCTCACCTTCCCCTCTTCTCCCAAGGGGAAAGTTCCGAGCCACTAGAACAGCTGATTTTCACTGCTCTAGCGGCTTTACGAAATCGCGGGGGTTAGCGCTCCCAAAAGAGCTGCCGCCGACGCCTGCGGTGCCACCGGAAGTCTAGTAATTCTAAATTGTTAAATCCAATAACATTATCATAAAGATTTGGCTACTACAAGAATTGTTGTAGACTAGAGTTATAACTTATTTTTTTCCTATTTTGAAAATGCAATTTGCACTAAATAATTATGGCATCACAGAACTAGCAGATATTCTTTAGCCTATTTATTCTAATTTTCTACTGGATACATAAGCATTAAGGATGTAGCAACTAGAAGCAACCACAAGTTACTGCTTCTTTAAGACATCTTTAAATAGGTATTTTCCTAGGCCCATATGGCCACTGTATGAACAAAAGTGGCTTCTTTAAGGGACAATCAACAGATGGATAGTGCTGATCTTGGACTTGAAGCACGCTTGACCACTTCCAAGTATTCCATATCACTGTTGTATGACTAGATTTCAGGATGACCAGGAACCATCTCTGCCCAATCAAAATTGTACATCAATTGCAACTTTGTGGAAATATCAGTTCATACTATGGGTGTATCAATTTTGGGTCATGAACTGCCACTCTCAAGAATGAATGTTATAATCCCCAAATGACAAAAGTCATCAGAATCTCTTTGAAATCTAGCCATGTCAGTTCAGTCAGGGACTCTGCTATGCATCAAGATGGGTGATTCACTAAAAGAATCTTCATTGTCTCCTGATTATCCAGATTATCTCATCTTTAATGAGTAAAATCCATGACAGGGAGTCAGAAAATGTAGATGATTATTTTATGAGTTGTTGCAATGGGTTTGCAACTCTGCTATATGGAATAACAAATTTATTTATTAAGCAAATATATACAACCACCCAACTCAAACCCAGGTCATAGTAGGTGAATCTAATCACATCCTGCTAGGCCTGCCTATTAATATCAGCTAACCTCTTATTTATTAGAAGAGCATGTTTTGTTTACAGAATCCTAGGACAAATTGCAGTTCAACAGGACTGGCATTAAGTCCTCAACCCAAATTCTTTGGATTTTGTAAGTAAAAGGGGCGGCGGTGGGGGGGAGCGGGAGAAAGGATTTATTATAACTGAATGAATCTGTTCTCTCACTGCAAATCTGAATTTCCTTTTCTACTGTATCTCCTTTGCCTCACAAAATGACAAAGCAAACACAAAGGAAGAAACCCTTTCTTTTTTCTTATGACTCATTGAAGAGATATCCTAAGCAGATGTCTTAAGCACATGGCCATAATCTCTCTAATTTCATTTCACTTTTAACAGTCCTCAACACAGATGTAGGTTTAGGGTCTATCAAGAACTACGGCTGCATTCTCACTTCAGAAAGGAGCATATTTGTAAGTCAGGTTTAAAATGAGGAGTCTTTGGTGCTTTCTGAGCTTGGCTATTTTCTTGCAGACATTTCATTACCCAAAGTAGGTATCATCAGTGCTAGTAAGGAATAGGGTTTGCTCTGTTTATATTCTAGTGGCTTGCCCTATCAGTGTTGGTGGGGGTAGTCTTGGAGGCTCTTTGATTAGGCTGTTTACTGTTTATTTGACAGTTTCTTGATTAGGGTATTGTTTACTTGATTGTTGGTCTGATGTTAATATATGCTCATCTGGGCGCTGATTGCTGGTGGGGAAGTGCTTAAGTCTTTTTGTTCTCCTTTTTGGCTTGTTCATTGTTTCTTTTGCATAGTCTATAAATATTATTTATGTCTATGTGTCCATTGATAACTAATTTGTCAGAGTGCTACAGTTCTAGAAATTCCCTAGTGCAGTGATGGCTAACCTTTTTCAGACTGAGTGCCCAAAGTGTGCGCCCAAACCCCCAAAATGCAATGTGTGCACGGCTCCTGCCCATGTGCCTGTCCCAATGCATGCATGTGCGGCTCCCCAAATGTGCCCCACCCCCTGCACATGCCCTGCACGCTGTGCATGCATACGCGGCCCCCTGCACACGCCCCGGGACCCCGCATGGGCCCACCCCCATGCATGCGCGGCAGAGACCCAAAAACCAGTTGGCCAGAGTGGGTGCTGCGTGCCACCTCTGGCATGCCTGCCATTGGTTCACCATCACAGCTAGTGTTTTTGGACTGGGCTTGGTCTAGGATGGTCACAGTTTACCAATTGACACTATAGTTAAGTTTGTTCATATGTTGCAAAATTAAAGAGTTTTCATCATGTCTTAACTGCTAGTTGATGTTCATGAATGCATTTTGACAGTTTTCTGCCCGTTTGTCCTACTTAGTGATTGTTGCAGTCATTACACTATATGTTGTATGTTGTAGATCAGGGGTGTCAAACTCTATTTCATTGAGGGCAGCATCAGGGTTGTGTTTGACTTGGGGGGCCAGGGTGAGTGTGGCCAGCTCGACGTCAATCATGTCAGAGGTGCCTGTGTACTCCTCCAGCGAAAATGGGCTCCCAAACTCCGTTTCAGCTGTAAGGGCCTCCTGCAACCCTTTGCCAGCGAAAACAGAGCTCGGGAGGGCTGCACTCAGCCCTCTCAAAATCTGTTTTTGCTATCAGAGGCACAGCAGGCCAGTTCTCCACTATTTCCAGGGCGGCCCCACGGGCCAGATCTAAGCACTGCACGGGCTGGATCCGGCCCCCGGGCCTTGAGTTTGACACCCCTGTTGTAGAAGATTCTTGTTTTTTCTTCTGGAGCTGCTGGATCTTTTCATTTGCGTAGGATGTTTTGAAGAACTTTGGTTGGCTTGTGCACTATGCTGCTTCCATGTGGTTTTATTAGATGTTGTTGGTTTCTGAGATGTCATTGATGTATGGCAATGTTATTCTTTTTAGGGCCCAATAAGCAACACAACACAAAGGACTGGTTTTTCACCATAAAGATTATCTGGCATCTCAAATCTTAATATTTCCTAACATCTTTACTATATAGCTCAAAGCAGTTAATAAAATGGTCCAATGTACACTTCATAGTCAATACTCTTCTGTTTAAACTACAAAGCTAGAATCTTTATGGTACATTGGATAATGTCAAAATAGATAATGTCATCACTATGGTTTTTCATTTCTTATGTTGTTATTAAAGCTTCAAGGGTAGTCTTTATTCTTTTTGGTTTTTTTTAAAAAAATAATATCAGTCGTGTCAAATGAAATGAGTTCAAAATTCTTGATTTACATAATTTAATTATAAATGAAGTAACGTATTAAAAATTAATACAATTAGAATCTTCCTTTTGTTAATGTACCATGCATCTTAATTTCATCTTTTCATATGTTGGCAATTCTACTAATCTGTTGATAATTGCCAACTATTATAAACAAGTATCTTTAAGTACAGTAAACAAAACTCTATGAATAAAATGATGGTTTGGCATTTTAATTTTTTAAAATTGAATTTTATTTTTTAAAATTGGTAGCTTTATGCTTTATACTTTAATTTTGTGACAATAAATTCATTTTAAGTTTGTTGATTCTCACATTAATGAGACTAATTCAAACCATTACTAACTTGCTCTTTTGATGTCAAGTCATTCAGTCTGGCTCCAACCATAACAACAAACTGGAGAGGGCCAGTTCCAACTCACAGGGTTGTTGTGGGGAAGATAGGAGGAAAGAATATTAAATATGTCTATATGTGTGTGTGAAAGAGAGGGGGGAGTGAGAGATGGTAAGATAAATTATTTGTGGTTTATTCAAAAAATTGTGATAATGGAGTAAGGATCTGTTGAATTTTACCAGTAAGCACTTAAATATATAGCATTCAGAGAGATAACATTTATTAATTCTAATAGGATTCTAAAACCTTTTGGAGATCAAGGAGCTGCAATCTCATACACTTATACTGGAGTGAGGCTTATGATACAATACAACGCAATACAATACATTGTAATACAATACATACCTATTTTTTTTCTTGATAGAGCAGGGGACTGAGCTTTTGTTATGAACTAGTATTAAACACATTTCATATAACAATTTGTGTTATATGGAAAAATTCTGGAAAATCTTCCTTGGGTGATAGGGTGAGAAGTGTGTTTGTGTGTGTGCATGTGTGTGTGTGTGTGAATTTCCTTCAACACATGACATAAGGAATATTTTTGTGAATTTGTATTTTTTTTAACACATGAAATAAACTTCTCTTTCCAGTTTGATATCACTAACTGCCTTTTTTCCTCCAATTTTTTATGTCAATTTTATTATTTCTTCTCAATTTTAGACAGAAAAAGGTACATCTCCAAACTCTGAGAGCCATGTCTGAAGTGCAGAAAATGACACCACGTGAACGGATGCGATTGCGGAAATTAAATTTAGCTGATCAAACAGCACAGAAGCTGAAGTAAGCAAACACCTGTGTTAGTCGTCAGTATTTATAATTTTATCAAAAGCATTTATAATCAGAAAGTGATGATTTGTTATACTCAATCATTTTATTTCCCTCTTGTAAATTATATATAGTATATGTTTTGCTTTCTAATTCTGAAAAAGAACCTAATAGAGAAGTTACAAATGTTATTTATTATTCTAGTCCTTTGTGAACCTCAGATACTGATATAATTAGTGAAATAACTGTTTGCTTGCCTTCAGAACACTTTTAATCATTGTTACCATTTGTTTGAACAGTTTATACAATATTATGCAGTTTTCTGTCTACTTGGTAGTATAGATATTTCAAAACTCTATAATGGGAGATATACTATAGGGCTATGATGGCAAACCTATGGCACACATGCCACAGGTGGCACACAGAGCCATATTGGTGGGCACGTGAGCCAGCTGATTTTTGGGCCTTCTGGGCCCACCAGAAGTAGAGAAACAGGCTGTTTCCTGTCTCTGGAGAGCCTGGTGGGGTGGAGAAGGCCTATTTTTTGCTCTCACCAGGCTCCAGAGCCTCTCTAGGAGCCTGGGAAGGGCAAAAACGGCCTTCCCCACCCCCAGGAGGCCGGAAACAACCCATTTGCCAACTTCTGGTGGGACCAGAAAGGCCATTTTTTGCTCTCCTCAGGCTCCAGAGCCTCTCTAGGAGCCTGGGGAGAGCAAAAATTGCTCCCCCCCCCCGCGGAGACTGGAAACAGCCCATTTGCCAACTTCCGAAGTCAGCAAACGGGCTGTTTCTGGCCTCTGGAAGGCCTCCGGAGGGGGAAAGGCCCTTTTCACCCTCTCCAGGCTCCTAGAGAGGCTCTGGAGCCTGGAGAGAACAAAAAATGGGCCTACTGGGCCCACCGTGCCATCACGTGCCAAAAGCGAGGGGAGCACGGGGGGGTTGCGCGCACACGGGGGGTGCATATAATTATGGGTGTGAGCACGCGCATGCACGAACCCCCCCCCTGCACTCCCACCACTTTTGGCATGAGATGGCAAAAAGGTTAGCCATCACTGCCATAGGGCAAAAATAACAACTTGCAAAATAGTAAAATGTATAGAATTTGTGTCTATTTATGATTAAAGCCAACTTTTTTTTGAATCAAGTTTTATTTATTCCCCCCCACCCCATTTTCACCTGCATATTTTATGAACAGAGTATTGGCCATATCATAACTTATACAATTTAATATATTCAAGTACGTTTTACTCAGTTACAATTTTTGCCAAAATTTCCTTTTTCCATTTTATAATCATGTCTTAAAATTTCTATGCTTATTTATATAAACAATATCTTAATTTGCCCTCAAATTCTAATTTTTCCGTTTTAACTCATATTTATTCTCTTTTATTTTTTAATAACTCATTCTTTATCCTAGTACTTTTATGCATGATTAAAGCCAACTTTATTAGAACTACAGATTTGTCAGACAGACAGAATAACAGAGTTGGAAGGGACTAATAAAGTTGTAATAAAGTTGCTGTTGTTATTTGTTGTTATTTTTGCCTTGTGATATATCTCCCATTTATAGGGTTTTGAAATATCTGTACTACCAAATAGACAGAAAACTGCATATTATTGTATAGTCGTAATAATTGTCCAAACAAGTTGTAATAGTGTTGAAAAAGTGTTTTGAAAGCAATGAAATAATTGCTTTCAAATTATTTATTAATAATTAATTGCACTAATTATATCAGTATCTGAAGCACACAAAGGACTAGAATAATAAATAATATTTGTAACTTCTCTGTTAGGTACTTTTTTCAGAAATAGAAAGCAAAACATATATATTGTTTATGTTTTATAGATGTCATGATTACACTGAATTTGAATAATGCAGTATTTAATTTAGACCAAATTGTATATTGATACCAAATTGCCCTTAACGTGACCCAAAACTTAGTTAGTACTAGACTAGAGCATGTGCAATTGAAACTAGTAAATGCACAGTTGCAGTTGGCAATTTAGACAAGTTTTAAAAAGAGGAGTCTCATTATTACATTAGAACAAAAATTGGATATACTGTAATTGATTGACATGCAGGTTGTCATAGCAATGCTAAAATAGGGCAAGATATTGGAATGCCCCTCCCTCTTCTTCTCCTCTCTTTCCTCTTCTCTTTAAACTCACATCCAAGGATTCCAGTGTGTTCTTCCCTGTGCCCTCCAAATGTTTCTTATAGAAGCATGTTTGCTCAAGTTCAAGCGATTTTTAAAAATTCTTTAGTAACTTTTTACCTTTTGGTCTTTTACATTCAGCAGCTTCTTCTAATCCTTAGATTTCCAAAGATTAGAATCCTTACTTCAGTTTTGAAGAATTATATAAGGAAAGAAGTATTTCAGGTTTAGGCATCTAGTTTTGTATCATTTTATTGTTTTATTGTAGCTTATTTAGTTTGTTATTCTTAAGAAAGTGTCTTAAAATAACTCTGACATTTAAGACTATGTAACAATTTAATAATGGAGATTTAATATTCCCTTGAAATGGCAAGGTCATTCTGCTGGATTTCAGAATTAACATGTATTTCTTTCTCATGCCAATTTACATTCCATACTTACATAATAAATGTTTTTTAAAAATCAATTGAAATGCTACAGTTTACAATTGATACCAGTATTCTCCTTTCAGACAGTTGGCTGAAGAAAAATATCAAGAAAATCTTAAAAGAATGCAAGAACTTAGATTCCGTAATTTTCACCAAGTGAATATAGATGTGCTTCATGTAAGAACTGATTCTACCCTTTTTACTTTTCTAAAAATTTACAATTAATTTCTATAGTATTTTATCTCTCTGTCTTGTTCATAGTATAGTAGAGAAAATAGTAATTAATCTTGTATAAGTTTTCAAAAAAATTTAAGAGTATAAATTATAGTACTCCTTAGTCCTAAATTTATAAAATCATTATATACTTTAAATTCATTTATGAAAGTAATTAAAACAAATTAATTTGAAACTGTAACTGAAAATGAATTATGTTTATGCATATTATGCATATGTGAAAACTAGGGGGTTGAGGGGTTTGTTATTCAAATTTTTAGTTAAATTTTTAAGGGGTTCTAGGGAGGGGGAGGGTTTGATTTGAATGCGGGTGGTGGGCATGGGGGATAGCCCACTAAGGGAAGGGGCAGGCTTGGCAAGGAAGCACGGCGTGGGAGGTGGGGATCCTGCGGTCGAGGGGGGAGTCAGAGTTTGTCCGGATAGTGCTTTGAACATCACTACCGTGAGTGGGAGGGGTAGATATGGCGGGAGCAGGGGGCCATATCGAGTCAGGGGAGTGCACACCCGCTGTTTATGAGCGGTGGTGCGCTCCGGCCCCCAAGGCTCCACCTGTTCCCCAGGTTGCACAGACCCTCAGGGCTCGGCCCTCCAGCTGATGCTGTGCAATGCCAGGTCCGTAGTAAATAAAGCCCCCCTCATCTGTGACCTAATTGGTGAGGGGGGAGCGGACCTGGCAGGTATTACAGAGACCTGGTTGGGCCAGGAGGGGGGTTCCCCTCATTGAAATGTGCCCACCAGGTTTCCTTGCATTCCATCGGCCAAGGTCACAGGGCAGGGGCGGGGGAGTAGCGGTTATTATTAAAGAAGGTCTGAGACTGAGGGAGGCCACTGTTCCTCAGACGCCTGGCTGTGAGTCCTTCCTTGTGAAGTGGGGTCATGGGGTTCAGATGGGTTTGCTGATCACATACCTGGCTCTCTGCCACGTGGCAGCAGCCCTGCCCGACCTCCTCGATGTTATCGCCGCGGTGGTGGTTGATACCCCCAGACTTATGGTCATGGGGAATTTCAACCTGCCATCTGTGGGTGAGACGTCGGAGGTTGCTCGGGAGTTCATGGCTTCCATGACAGTTATGGACCTGACCCAGTTAATTCATGGCCCTACCCACACAGGGGGAAACACGCTGGACCTGATTTTTGTCACTGGACAGTGGTTGAGTGATCTTGAGATAGGGGACATAGTCACCGAGCCCTTGTCATGGTTGGATCACTCTCTCCTTTGCCTTGACCTTCGAACCGCTATACCCCATCGCAGGGAGGTGGAGCTGGTAAGATGGTTCCGCCCCAGGTGCCTGATGGAACCTGATAGGTTCCAGATGGAGCTTGGGCCATTTCCTGAGGCTCTGGCACACGCCTCGACTAGGGACCTAGTGGCCGCCTGGGATAGGGCGGCCGCTGGAGCTCTGGATCAGGTCATGCCTTTGCGGCCTCTGATCTGGCACCGATCTCACCTAGCTCCTTGGTTCACTGAGGAGCTGAGGGAGATGAAGCGCCAGAAAAGACGCCTAGAGAGTAGTTGGAGGGCCAGTCTTTCTGAATCCAACCGGACACTGGTAAGATCTCATTAAGAATTACCTAGTGGCAATAAAAGCAGCAAAATGTACATATTTTGCTGCTCTTATTGCATCATCAGATAATCGCCCAGCCGCTCTGTTTAGGGTGACCCACTCCCTGCTCCACCAGGAAGCACAGGAGGACCCCTTGGAGGGTAGAGCCGAGGATTTTGTTCAATATCTGCATGACAAAATCACTCAGATTCGGGAAGATCTGGACTCCGACTGGGTAGTTTCAGGGGGCATGACTGAGGCAGGTCTTGAGAATGTTACCTGGGATGAGTTTGATCCTGTGACCCCTGACGACGTGGACAGGATTCTGGGTGGACTGAATGCGACCACATGTTTGTTGGACCCGTGTCCCTCCTGGTTAGTGCTGGCTTCTCGGGAAGTGATGCGAGGCTGGCTCCAAGGGATTATAAATGCTTCGTTGGGTGAGGGTGACTTCCCCGCCGCTTTGAAAGAGGCGGTGGTGAGGCCTCTCCTCAAGAAGCCTTCCCTGGACCCGGCAGTGTTGGCTAATTATCGTCCGGTCTCCAACCTTCATTTTGTTGCAAAGGTTGTTAAGAGTGTGGTTGCACGATAGCTCCCCCAGTACCTGGATGAAACGACGTATCTGGATCCGTTCCAGTCGGGCTTCAGGCCTGGGTACAGCATGGAAACGGCATTGGTCGCATTGGTTGATGATCTCTGGAGGGCTCGGGACAGGGGTTGCTCCTCTGTCCTGGTCCTATAAGATCTCTCAGTGGCTTTTGATACCATCGACCATGGTATCATGCTGCACTGGTTGGAAGAGTTAGGGGTGGGGGACACTGTATTACGGTGGTTCTCCTCCTTTCTCTCCGACCGGTTGCAGTCTGTGTTGGCAGGGGGGCAGAGGTCGACCCCAAGGCCCCTCATATGTGGGGTGCCACAAGGGTCGGTCCTCTCGCCCCTTTTGTTCAACATTTATGTAAAGCCGCTGGGCAAGATCATCCGTGGTTTCGGGGTGAAGTACCATCAGTACGCTGATGACACCCAGCTGTACATCTCCACCCCGGACCACCCCAACGATGCCCTTGAAGTGATGTCCCGGTGTCTGGAGGCCGTGCGGATCTGGATGGGGAGGAACAGGCTCAGGCTCAACCCATCCAAGACTGAGTGGCTGTGGTCTACATCCCAATATAGTCAGTTGACCCCATTGCTGACTATTGGGGGCGAATTGTTGCCCCCCACGGAGAGGGCTCGCAACTTGGGTGTCCTCCTAGATTCACGGCTGTCTTTAGAAGAGCACTTGATGGCCGTGACCAGGAGGATTTTTCATCAGGTTCACCTGATTCGCCAGTTGCGTCCTTTTCTGGATCGGGACTCCCTACACACAGTCACTCATGCCCTCGTCACTTCCCGCCTGGACTACTGTAATGCTATCTACATGGGGCTCCCCTTGAGGAGCACCCGGAGGCTCCAACTGGCGCAGAGTGCGGCCGCGCGGGTGGTTATGGGATCAACATGGTGCTCCCGTGTGACACCTCTCCTGCGTGAGCTGCACTGGCTCCCGGTGGTCTTCCGGGTGCGCTTCAAGGTTTTGGTTACCACCTTTAGAGCGCTCCATGGCTTAGGACCTGGTTATTTACGGGACCACCTACTACCACAAGCAGCCTCCCACCAGCCGGTACGCTCTCATAGAGAGGGGCTCCTCCGGGTGCCGTCAGCTAAACAATGTCGACTGGTGGCCCCCAGGGAGAGGGCCTTCTCTGTGGGGGCACCCACTATCTGGAACGAGCTCCCCCCAGAGATACGGAGGATCCCGGATCTGCGCACTTTCCGCCATGCTCTTAAGACTCTGCTATTCCAGCAAGCCGGCCTGGCCTAATCTTCTCCCGTGTTTTAAAATTCTTTTAAATCAAAATTTTAATCCATTTTAAATTATTGGGATTTTTAATTGTCTCGGGCTAAATTATTTAATCTGGTTTTAATTATGTTCTTAACTTTTGTATTTATGTATTTTATTTTGTGCCTGTTCACTGCCCGGAGTCCTTCGGGAGTAGGGCGGTATATAAATCTAATAAAACATAAACATAAACAAAACATAAACATATTATAGCTCAATTTAATGAATATAACAAAACCAATATTTATTCTAAATTATTTTGAGAATCACTTTATCTATAATTTATTTGCTGCACAAATGAAAGCTATCATATGTGGCTAAATATTATTTATTTGTTAATTATACTAATTTAGTTTTCCCAAAACTGTGCTTCCTCCTATAAAAATTCTCATTTTCTTCTAAGATGTCCGTAAGAAAATACTATATTAATCCAATTCCAATAACATGATTTGATATGACATAGGTAGTTTTGCTGGTTTGGGGGTTCCATTAGTTTTATGTGTTTTAAAAACTCATAAGAATATTTTTAAAGCCATTCTTCATAGAAAATCCCATTGGTTCTAGTCAGAATATATTCAGTAATTTATGGCTGAATTATGATCCTACTTTTGTCCTTTTTTTAATTGCTTCAAATAAGGAATCTGATCAGCACAATTCAGAACACCTCAATAAATCCCAGTCTGTCACTGCATTGGACTATTTTTCCATAGGATGTAGTAACCAAAGGGACAATGATACAGTAGGCAGACTTCATGAACCTAATCCAGCAGAGCATGGTAAGAATTATAAAAGTATATATTATCATTTCCCTGTCTCATTAAAATATTATGAGATGCAACTAAGAAGTCAAACTTAATTATTTAAGAAAAATGAAACAATTGTTCTAAAATGACTAGAGTCCATATGCATTTTCTATGAGAAATAATTAATTTTATGTGTTATATTGAGAATATTTTCATAGTGCTGGAGGTCTGAAACAATCAATCCATCAAAGAGCAATAGGATACCCATAGATTTCTGGTTTATAACTGTCTAGAAAGGATTCAGCCTGTCCAGCCGGAATTTGATTGGGGTGTGGGATTGTTTGTATTCTTGGGTATCCTGACATGAATTCAGTTTGACACAGTTTGGAGCAGAAGGAGGATGGAGCCTTCAGTCAAAACATCATAGCTAACCAATGAGCCAGGCACATTCCAACAGCTGGCTGACCGGAGAAGGAAGAGAGAGGTCGCTAAGCAACCAGCTCCCATCTTGGTTGGACAATGTGACAGTTTGTTTTGGAAACTTGAGAAACTAAAACTTATATTGGAGTGAAAAGCCCAGGAACTTCAGTACTGGCTTTTCACCAGTTAGTGCCAAGATGGAATATCTAAATAAATTTGTTCTTTGAGAAAAGGAATGCCTCGGAGTTCCATATGTGATGGATGCATTACTTGGAACTTGAAACAGCCGATGAAAGTTAACTAGTGTGGGGACTTCCGGTTGAGGCGTGGATCGAGGCGACACGAGGAAGGAGAGCTCCTTATCCCGTGTCGAATTTCCAGTGTTACGGTGCCCGTTACAGGGAAATATCAGTCTTGGGTAGACCGGTAGAGAGAGGGTGACTTCGGCGGAGCTGGTGAGGAGAGGTGCGGTCTCCCGCCGCGCCAAGAAGAACCCTTATTCCGAACACGGAAGAAGACGGCCGACATGGCCGTACCAGAGATCTAACATCCCAAGTGCTAAATCGGGAAGCAAAAGAGTGAGCACGGGGTGAAGATTGGTAGTGCGAGCAGGAAATTAAACGTTAGAAAAGCGCTACAGATAATAACTGTGAAGAGTTGATGACTAAGAGTCCGGAGGAGCAGCGGAAAGAAAGGGAGACTCAGAAAGGTGCAGACGGCAAACAGCGAGGAGAGCGAAGTGACGCAGCAAAACCTGTCCTGTTGGATACAATATGGAGGAATAGAAAAGAACGATTGAAAGAGCGTATGATTTGAAGTTGGGAGAAGAGAAGAGAAGCGATTTGGAACAGGATGTTGGTTTTCTTTTTAATAAAACTGCACTGTATGGACGGAGAAGGACCATATAGGCAACAAAAAAGAAGGACAAGAGCAAAAGTTGCAGGATTAAAATCGCCATTTTGGATAGTGAGGGTAAAAGTCTTTGAACTCCATTTTTGGCTTCTGCTTTCCTCTGACATTATAAAGAAGACTATCTCATTTGGATTTATAACGGTTGGTGTTGGAGAGTTGCCAGAGAAGGACTAGAGTTAATTACAGTGGAATATTACATTGATTAATTCTTGAAAAAAAAATCCCTGTAGTTTTTCTTATATTTAGCTTATATATTTTATTTTATATATAATAACTATTTACATATTCATTAATTTACATATCAATTACTACTATTTAACAATTGTTTAATAATTTATCTATCTATTTATCTAACTATTTAATATTCATAATAACTATAAATTAGCATTAAATATAGACCAATAACCACTTGTAAGACAATCAATTTAAATGTTAATCAATTGTTTAGTACTATTTAGATGCTATAATATTTGGTCTGTTGCTTTCTCATATATGTTTTGATTAAGATTTTATCAATATTAAGCTAGGTAGAAAATTAATTAACGAATTTGTTTAGAGATAATATACTATAGTACAAGTTAGCATAATCTTAAAGTATTTATAGCATTTATAACATTTTATACTATTTATAGTCTATTTAAAAGGAGAAGGATTTTTATTATATAATTTGTGTGAGAATCAATTAGAGTGATATACAATAATACCCTAGTTAAAATACAATCTGTAACTCATAGATTGAGATTTCATATTTAAACAATAGAATATACTTAGACCTATTTAAGAATATTAGAAATAGTAGCTCACAAAACTGAGCTAGAAGCGAATGCTGATTTGGGGAAGAATAGACAGAATCCTAGAAAAACAATACAAAATTTTGAAGGAAATGACTTCCACCACAGTAACCACAGTAAAAACAGGAAAGAAGGTCACTTCAACACCAATTGGATTAACAGCCTCCCCAGTAACACAAAAGACCCTAGAAGGGAATGTTTTCGACTGACAAACAAACTCCCACCATGAGTATGCAGACTGTCCAGGCTACACTAGCAACAATACAAGAGACTATGTTAAAAATGTGTTTGTCTAAAAACCATGAGGAAGCTAGGAGAGATCTGGACGAAGTCAAAATGTCAGTCAAAGAAGATATACAAAAATTGGATGAAAAAATGGACTCTATTCAAGAGATAATACAAAAAAATGATCAAAGGATTACGGCCATAGAAAAAAAAAACCGAACAAACGGAAGAGAAGCTAGAACTCTTGGATGAGAAAATGACTGGCCTCAATAAAGATCTTGAGAATATGGTGGCACAGTTAGAAATGGAGAGAGCGGCATTCTATCTAAGGTTCCAAAATGTGAGAGAAGAAAGAGATGAGGACCTAACTCTAATAATGGCTGAAATCAGCGGTTCTCAACCTGGGGATCGCGACCCCTTTGGGAGTCAAATGGCCATTTCACAGGGATCACCAAAGCCCTCTCTCGCCCCCCCACACACCTTCACTCACCCTCACCCTCTGCCTCTGTTGGATCGCCGGTGGCCGATCGCTTACCCCGCCCACTCCCAATCTATTGCTGCCTCCGGAGTCCTAGCTGATGGCTAGAGGGAAAAAAACTTTAAATTCTTGCCGCGGGGCTTCAAAGGGCCACCCTACAGCTGATCAGTGTTAAAAGAAAACAAATGAATAGAGCGGTGCCTGCAAAAATAGAAAAAACAGCCCCTTTCAGCTTCAGCATAGATTAATTACCATAAGTTGATTTGATCAGCCTCCTGACTCTCAGCTGATTTGCTCTCAGCTGTTTTGTGGAGGGCTCTGTTGCTAGCTAGCTGCAAAGAAGTAAATTCCTGGAGCAGATTTTTTTTCCCCCTAGCTATGCTGAAAAAGTGAAACTGAAAGTAAAGCAGGGTCTTTGCTGCAACGTGACAAAATGAGGCAGAGAGAGATTTCTTTTTCTTTTTCCTCACCAAAAAAGGTAGGTGCAAAACTGCAAACAATGGGAAATTTAGGGCAAAAGAGGAGGTTCAAGATTTTAAAACACAAAAGAAAAAAAGCTCTATTTAACTAGGGAATTGTAATAATTGAGATACTATTAATTGTATATTGTGTTGAAGGCAGCAATGGTTAAGTTGTGGTTTGGAGGAATATATGGGGGAAATTATTTGGTTTATTATTATTGGTAAATGTAACTAATTGATTTGTAAGAAATTGGATTGCATGGAAATAATTGGAATATTCATGTTCATATTGATTAATATACAAAAAAGATAGTTATATAACTAATTGATTTATATTAAAATGTTGAACTTGTATTAAACAACTGTATTACATAATTACAAATGTGAGGATGGATATAAAAATAGATGATAATGCGAAGGGGTATAATATAGAATAGAAGGAAAAAATTGAATTTGATTAAGATTAGAGATGAGGATGAAGGGTAATATTGGTTTTTTTAAAAAATAGATGAGGAATAAATATGATAAAAAGGAAATATAGAAATTGTAAATTTAATTGAAATGACTAAAAACTGTGTTGGAAGAAATATCCTTCTGGGTTCTGCTCCAAGTGGGGAAAAAGACATGGAAACATGGAGACTGCTTGGAAAGATGGTTTAATGGTGGGCATGATCACATGGCTTGAGTTCCTGAACAGAAAAGGGGCAGATACAGTAAATCCTTGGGTTTTTATGCTCTCTCTGGCTTTGCATTTCTTGGGGGCCCGAAAGAGTATCCTGATTGGTTGTCAGACTCTCAGGGGGTGGGGGTCTTAGCTAGCCTTGCTGGCTGATGGTCACATGTGCTTCCCAGGTCACACGCTTCCCAGGTCACGTGTGGTGAGTTTCTGTTGCTAGATGGGGCCCATTGTGTTAGTTTCTGTTGCTATTGTGTTGCAAATGTCCTTTGACAAAGGATTGACTTTCTGCCTCTGGCCCATTAACAAAGGGTTGGGGGCAGGAAGGTGGGAGCTGCTTTGTCTGTAAAATATGCTTCTCCATTTCTCATCCAGGGAAATATAATATTCTGCCTTTTTAATATTTCCCAAAATATTTCATTCTTCTAGGAAAGGGGTGGGTGCTAACCTCCTACAACTGTTTAAATTTGTGAACCGGCCAAATACTCTGTTCAAAGAAAATACGTTGTATGTTTGTATGTGTGTTTCTAATTATTGCTATTTATTCATATTTGTTCTCTTTTGTTCTTTAAAGTTTAACAATTCATTCTTTATCTTAATATCTTTATATTTGTTTGGGGTTGGCTTTCTTCACTTTCATCTTTTTTATTGTACAGCAATCTTTCTCCTCAAACCTACCACCTCTGTCTTTTCTTTCCTTCTTACTTTCTCTTCCCCCCCTTCTTCTTCTCCCTGCTTCCTCTTCCTTTCTCCTTCTCCTCCTCTCTTCCTCCGTTTCTTACCCTCACTCCTACTCTAATTTCCCTTCCCTTCCTTCATCCCTCTCTATTGCTGTATTCTTTTATGCATATGGACTACTCAGAGGGCTGAAAAAGTTATTTTTGACTGGTCCTCGCACTTTTGACCAGTCCTCAAACTTACGACTGTCCTCACAATTTACGTTTTTGCCCTTACGTTCTTGTCACCATGGTGAAGAGAAGCAGTTGTGAAATGAGTGACACGGTTGTTAAGAATGCTACAATGGACATAAATGATGACCAGTCATAACTGCGAAGACCGGTCAAAAGTGT